TGTCTTGTACATAACTACATTTAAAAGAATGTATTCTCTTTGAATTGTTTTACTTAATTTTTCATTGGTCTCTGTCCATCATTTTCCCATGGAAAAAGAAAGGTGAAAAAGTTCAGTGGCACATACATGATTATTAATTATGTTGTTAATTAATTTAATTAACATTCGTTGAACACCTTGTATAGTCCAGATTATACGCTAAATCTTGTTTGGGGGAGGTGGGCTGGAGCTTGGCTAGGGTCCAAAGATGAATCAGAAAAATGTCTTCTTTTTCAAAGATTTGCTAATGAGTGCTAATAATACAAATGATAAAGAGATGCAGGAGAAAAAGGGCTATTGGTGATCAGAAGCCCAGAGAACCAAGAGGTGCCTTTAGAAGGTTGAGACAGATCAAGCCAGTCTGCAAGCACAAAGGAAGCAAAGACATGGAGCCAGGACCATGTAGTGCATTCAGGAATCAGGAAGTAGTCCACTTGCATCAAGCGTATGATTTGTCAAGAAGATGTGTAATCCATTTGTGAGGCTGGACAGGTAGATAACCTCCATGTGTGGAGGGTACTACAAGCCAAGATAAAGACTTTGAGTTCATGTTTAGGAGGCCTTGACGCTACACTGAAGGTTTTTAAGTAAGAAGTGACATAATCAAAGCTGTCCTAGGACAAATAGTACCACAATGTACAACATGGATAGGGACCTAGATAAACATGTGAGGGAAGATCAAAGGAAAGAGGCTGCAGAAATAATGTAGGCTGAGGTAACGAGATGCTGACTCAGGATACGGCAGTGGGAAGAGAGAAAAGAATGGATGAAAAAGGCACAGTGTAGGCAGACCCAACAGGAAAGGAAGAGAAGGAAATAGTCAAGATGCCATTACAATTCTAGCCTAGGGACTGCTAATTCTACAAAGAAAAGTAGAATGTGCAAGAAAACCTGAATTCAAGATTAATTTAGTTTATGCCATATTAAGCCTGAGGTGCTAGCCAATCAGAAATGTCCAAAGCCCTTGGAAATGGCAAAAACTGAATCGAAGGGATGTTGATTAAGGTGATGAGCCAGAGTTTATACTCATGCCAAGAAGACAATAAATACATGCAGATAATTTGTATTAAATTGTGGAAAGTTACATATAAGAGGTATAAAGTTCTCTGGGATTTCAGAGAAAAGAAAGATCATTTTCAGATGAAGTCGGGGACGTGGCAGTCTGGCATTTGGAAAAACTTACTAGAGTTGAGCTAGGATTTTGGCAGGCAGAGATAGAAGAAGAAGGAATTCCAGAAGAGGAGGGCATTCCAGATATCTGAAAAGATACCAGTAAAGCCAATGATATAGGAAAATGCAGCTCCCGTTTATGAGGGAATGGTGAGGACACCAATGCGCTTAGGATTTTATGTATACTCAGAGGAACTGAGGAGGAAGTAGGACTGAAATGGAGAAACCTATTTCCGACTATGCTAAAATGACAACAAAATTATCAGCCAAATTGCTCTATTTAAGTCCAATTAGCTAATGTCCATGACTAAGCAATTGTTTTAACTAATCGTTCGTTGAGTCAATGCATTCTAATAAGTAGCTCAATCAATATATGTTCAAAATATAATCTGGTCATCTTAATTTCTTGAATTTCTGCACCTATTTTAAGTCTTAAAGGCCTATGCTTTCGAGAGTTAGAGATTATTTAGCGCAGCATTCTGTCTGATGTTTCAACTGGAAACGGAGTGTCTGAGACATTTTTTTTTTTTTTGAAATTAAAGCTTGTGTTTTACGTTGAGGACTTTAAATGTTATTTTTTAACGTAAATGCTAATAATAGATCCAAGTATTTCAGAACTGCAGGGGAAAGTTGCACTTAGTTACTTTTTAAAATTAGAAAAACTGTTTCATTCTTTGTCAGGAAAAAAGCATTTTTGAAATGTTCAAATGGTGTTAATCTTCCATCCAAACCCGTCAATGTATTTTTATAATTACAATTTTAAAAAGGGACATTGGTGATATAGAAGGCAGCACTAATAATTCTCACAGCAGTTACGTTCAGTAGTATACTCATGTAATTTTAGTAATATATGTACCTCTATAAAAATCAGGGCATCAGTATTATTTATGAATGATTCCATGATTTCAAAAAGTCTTCTTTTCTTCAATAATTAATTAAAACAAAAGAACAAAAACCAAACCAAACCAAAACAAAAATTCTGCATTTTCCAAATGAAATGCAAATAAAATTCACAAATGAAGAATAAGCTGAAAGAAAACAATACTTGTTCTGGGAGTTTCGTTAAACTTTTATTTTAATGTACTTAATGCAGAGATATAGGAAGAGCATTATTCTGAAAATGCAGAAATCAACTCAGCATTCTTGGCAAGAGTACCTTTTAGTCTACAGCACAGAAAGAGTTAATCTGAAATACAAACTGGAGGTACATTAAATGTGCTGTGCTTGCCATTCAAGAAGCTTTGTTTTAATGGCAAAGGCAATACTGAAATTGTGTGAGTACTTAAACTTTATTATGGAAATAAATGATGTTGCCCTAGAAGTCTTCCATGATAAGAAAAATACTCTGTGAGGAGTTATTGAATTACCTATTTTCTTATACAAAACAATTCTTTGTTTGCTTCATACTTTCAGGCAATGGTTCCACAAAATTAAGTATGGTTTCCCCCTTCTAATAGCAAAACCCAAAACAAACCTTAAACTATGTCTTCTTTGCATGTTATAGTTAATGTGCTTTCATTATGCTTAATGTACTTTTAATAGTCTCCTGTGGCAAGATGGTGATATTAAATGTCAGAGTAAAATATCCGTGATACCACCTTGAATTTGCTACAGTGTCTTTTATCTGAGGGCTCAAAGCACTTCACACATGTTCTCATTCAGTATCTCCTGGAGGTGTAGTATGCACATTTTATGGTTGAGGACAGTGAGGTGAAGAATGACTAAGGGAATTGAGGTCATTTCCAAGCTCACACTAAGCACAACCTGGAGCATTCTCTCCCTTCAATCCAGGCTGCCTCCAAGATGGCTGCACTGGCTTCTCAGGGCCAAAAATTGGTTGTATCTTCACTAGTCTTTTCCTTCATGGAATTGTCTCCCTTACCTGGACACCATCAGATGCAGGGATGTAACTTGCTCTTTTAAATGTGTCTGTCACATTTCTCAGGATTTCCACGGACATCAGAAGATCGCCTGCATAGAAATTTTTCCTCTGAGTTAAATCCAACAGTGTCTTGGTCACCTGGGACATTCCATCACCTGCCAGCATTCGCTGCCCCTTAGCAAGGTGCTCTTTAATCTGTGATGGTCAAAAGAACAGAATAAACATCAGAATCTTCATATTTCTCTGCATATCCACCTCAAGCAACTGTATTTAAAATTGCTCACTCAACTTTAAAATAGCCTTGCAATACTTGGGTAGATTTTAAAACTAAATTGTGCGTATCCCATACTCAGATGGATAAACACAGATCATGAAAAAACTAATGTATACATCTTGGCAGGCTTGATGGACTTGCCACTTCCAGTCAGAACACAATATAACACATTGGGGAAAATGTGTATTAATTTAGGTTTTTAATTGGAGTAAAAATTTAAAAAATACTCTTGCATATGGTAAACATGGGAGATTGTTTAGTAATGTGTGATCAGAGATGGGAGAATATAAACACTTCAAAATATCCATATTTTACTAACAAACTGAGCTTATTAACTTTTGCCTTACATCTTAAAATAAACACATCTTTATATAGCAGCCAAAAAAGTTGTCATAAGGACAATTTTGAGAAAATGTCTCTAAACTTTAGAGGTTTACTATGATATGATTGAAAGCTAGATTACTTCAGCTTTATTTTTAAAAATAAACAAAAGCAAAAACAATAAAAAACTCGTCAGCAACAGAATGAACCATTAAGATGTAAAGCTTAAATTAATTTGATGGCTAAAGAGATGTATGCCAATTCTCATATCTGCTTATCTTACAATTCAGGGAGGAAAAAACATCTTACAATGTGAAGGCAGATAATAGAGATCGTAAAGAGATAGCAAGAATCCATTATGCTTTTACTTGTTTACTAAAAGGTTGATCTTTATCTTCCCATTGCTAAATCT